ATTAAATACTTTTTTCTTTACATAGTTGAATGTGCTGACAACATAATCACACAAAAATGATCAATGGAAATCAAATTTATCAACCCATGGAGGTCTGGATTTGGAGTCACCCTCAAAATTAAAGTGGAAAACCACACTACAGGCTGATCCAACTTTGATGTAATGTCCTTAAAACAAGTCAAAATGAGGCTCAGTAGTGTGTGTGGCCTCCACGTGCCTGTATGACCTCCCTACAGTGCCTGGGCATGCTCCTGATGAGGTGGCGGATGGTCTCCTGAGGGATCTCCTCCCAGACCTGGACTAAAGCATCCGCCAACTCCTGGACAGTCTGTGGTGCAACGAGGCGTTGGTGGATGGAGCGAGACATGATGTCCCAGATATGCTCAATTGGATTCAGGTCTGGGGAACGGGCAGGCCAGTCCATAGCATCAATGCCTTCCTCTTGCAGGAACTGCTGACACACTCCAGCCACATGAGGTCTAGCATTGTCTTGCATTAGGAGGAACCCAGGGCCAACCGCACCAGCATATTTTCTCACAAGGGGTCTGAGGATCTCATCTCGGTACCTAATGGCAGTCAGGCTACCTCTGGCGAGCACATGGAGGGCTGTGCGGCCCCCCAAAGAAATGCCACCCCACACCATGACTGATCCACCGCCAAACCGGTCATGCTGGAGGATGTTGCAGGCAGCAGAACGTTCTCCACGGCGTCTCCAGACTCTGTCACGTCTGTCACAGGCTCAGTGTGAACCTGCTTTCATCTGTGAAGAGCACAGGGCGCCAGTGGCGCCCTGTGCTCTTCAATAACCAAAAATATTGTATTTTCAGCTGTTTGAAGCTGATGTAAGTAAGTAAAAGATGCTAAAACAAAACTTAAGAATGGGAAGAATAGAAATAGCGCACAGATCTACCACTTCTTAGACTTGCTTTCAATGAGAATGACAGATTTATAACTCACGTTTCTATGTGAATTATGGTCGCGTTGCCCTAAAAAGTTACATATTGAATCTAAAAAAAACACAGGACAAATCTGAGGGGGGCATGTGCCCTTGTGGCCCCTATGGGCATGACGGCTCTGGTAAAGCGTTAGGATTATTCTCCGATCAATAGAAGGCTAGTCATGGCTATGGCATCCCATGGTGTTTGGGAAGGATGTGAGAGTTTGGTCATGTTAGTGTACGTGCAGTAGACTGACAATAGGGTGGAACTGTTTACATGGTTTGCAGGACCGAAGAAAGCTGTCTGAAAGAATGGTAAGAGGCTATGGATTATGCTGTCAGTTGTCATATGCATGACGGTGATTGGAAAACCCAGGAGAGGGTTTCACGTGGCGTGAGAAGTGGGCTGCCTTAGGCATCCTTCCGCTGCTATTTTAGTCTATCAAGTTCAACTCAATTCCTTCTCACTTTCATAAAAGAGCTAGGATGGTGGTAAGATGAAAGCGGTGCGGTGACAGTTGTGTCCTACGGCTGTATTGACCAGTGTCTCTGACAGCCTCCCCTTGGTAATAACGTTTTTATTGAGCCAAGACCCCTGTCTACCAGATCGTCTGCAGGTGGCCCCATGCAGCTCCGTTCCATGCTGTCTGGAACATTTCAGTTTGGACTTCTTCCACGTTGTCGTAAATAAACTAGAGTCCGCACAGAGGGGAAGAGCATGTAGGGTGATTGTGAGAGGATTTTTAACAAAGTTTTACCAAGGCACACTGCAGTGCGAGATTTAATTAGATACTGTATATGTAAGCAGTCATTAGCCATATAACGATAGAGATTGTAAACAGACAGTGTTGTTAACTAGCGACTTTTAATATACAAAATAAATCTGATCTTTGACATGGCAGTCTCCCTTTGCCAGTGCTATCATTTCTATCATTTCTATCTATCTATCTATCTGTCTGTCTGTCTGTCTGTCTGTCTGTCTGTCTGTCTGTCTGTCTGTCTGTCTGTCTGTCTGTCTGTCTGTCTGTCTGTCTGTCTGTCTGTCTGTCTGTCTGTCTGTCTGTCTGTCTGTCTGTCTGTCTGTCTGTCTGTCTGTCTGTCTGTCTGTCTGTCTGCCTGCCTGCCTGCCTGCCTGCCTGCCTGCCTGCCTGCCTGCCTGCCTGCCTGCCTGCCTGCCTGCCTGCCTGCCTGTCTGTCTGTCTTTCCGTCCGTCTGTCCGTCCATCCATCCATCTATCATCTTGACTTGAGTCTGCTCCCCATTAAAATACATGGGAGTATCTGAGTCGACTGAACATAAAGCTTATAGCCATACCATGCTTCCTTCCTGGCCATTATGAAGGTTGTGTCCCAAATAGTACCATATTCCCTATATAGTCAACTACTTTTGACCAGAACCCTATGCGCTCTGGTCAAAAGTGCACTATATAGTAAATAGGGTGCCATATGGGACACAGCTGAAGCCATTCCACGTGTTTCAACTAATCACAGCACCGTGTATCAGAGGGAGTCGCTGGCTCAGATCAACCTAATGTCTGATCAACTGACGGGTGTTGAAAAAAGAGCCTTACGAAAAGCAGGCTCTTAAACACTCTTAATGAGAGGAAGGCCAGAGAAGGCTATTAGTGCTAAGGTTTACTACCAGGCTCTGGAACAGACTGCAGAAGCAAATAGTTGTAGCATCCGCATTATCCCTTCACTATCTCACAGTACAGCAGCCCTCCTCTGTCTGGATCATGTTTTACTGCTGTGTGTGTGTGTCTGTGTGTGAGCATGTGGTTGTGTGTCTGTCTGTCTGTGTGTGTATGTGTGTCTGTGTGTGTGTCTGTGTGTGTGTGTGTGTGTGTGTGTGTGTGTGTGTGTGTCTTTGTGTGAGCATGTGGTTGTGTGTCTGTCTGTCTGTGTGTGTATGTGTGTATGTGTGTCTGTGTGTGTGTGTGTGTCTGTGTGTGTGTGTGTGTGTGTGTGTGTGTGTGTGCATTATATTTGATATTTTGTTGACCTTTATGATGTATTTATTTCTCTCCTTGTTGTCTCATTTTTTTTATTTTAATGTCTAGTTGGATCTGCTTTTTGTTTATGATTGTTCTGTATTGCGTTTTGTGTGGGGACCCCAGGAAGAGTAGTTGTTGCAATCGTAATGGCTAATGGGAGATCCAAGTAAACCCAGAAATAATTAGCGAAGATTCAGGCGCATAATCTGTCGTCTTCTTCCGTTCCAACAGATGGTATGGTTTTGAAAATAAGAATGCGTCTGCTATCTAGCGGAGCAACTCATTAGGGTTTAAAATCATTACATTAGATTTATGTTAGCAGGGATCTAACAGCACGCTCTGTGTCTGCGCTCAATGTCACAGTGATGCATTCGCCTATTTTAGTATGACTGCAGAGTCTGAGTATATCAGCGTTTTGTTAATATGCTTGGGTTGTTTAATTGTTTCAGATCCACATTGCTTCATGGAAAGAGAGAGGAATAGAGAGTAAGGGTAGAGAATTAGAGGAAGAGAGACAGAAAGAGAGAGAGTGAGGTTAGATAATTAGAAGAAGAGAGGCAGAAAGAGAGAGAGTGAGGGTAGAGAATTAGAAGAAGAGAGACAGAAAGAGAGAGAGTGAGGTTAGATAATTAGAAGAAGAGAGACAGAAAGAGAGAGAGTGAGGGTAGAGAATTAGAAGAAGAGAGACAGAAAGAGAGAGAGTGAGGGTAGAGAATTAGAAGAAGAGAGACAGAAAGAGAGAGAGTGAGGGTAGAGAATTAGAAGAAGAGAGACAGAAAGAGAGAGAGTGAGGGTAGAGAATTCGAAGAAGAGAGGCAGAAAGAGAGAGAGTGAGGGTAGAGACTTAGAGGAAGAGAGACAGAAAGAGAGAGAGTGAGGGTAGAGACTTAGAAGAAGAGAGACAGAAAGAGAGAGAGTGAGGGTAGAGAATTAGAAGAAGAGAGACAGAAAGAGAGAGAGTGAGGGTAGAGAATTAGAGGAAGAGAGACAGAAAGAGAGAGAGTGAGGGTAGAGACTTAGAAGAAGAGAGACAGAAAGAGAGAGAGTGAGGGTAGAGAATTAGAAGAAGAGAGACAGAAAGAGAGAGAGTGAGAGTAGAGAATTAGAGGAAGAGAGACAGAAAGAGAGAGAGTGAGGGTAGATAATTAGAAGAAGAGAGGCAGAAAGAGAGAGAGTGAGGGTAGAGAATTAGAAGAAGAGAGACAGAAAGAGAGAGAGTGAGGTTAGATAATTAGAAGAAGAGAGACAGAAAGAGAGAGAGTGAGGGTAGAGAATTAGAAGAAGAGAGACAGAAAGAGAGAGAGTGAGGGTAGATAATTAGAATAAGAGAGACAGAAAGAGAGAGAGTGAGGGTAGAGAATTAGAAGAAGAGAGACAGAAAGAGAGAGAGTGAGGGTAGAGAATTAGAAGAAGAGAGACAGAAAGAGAGAGAGTGAGGGTAGAGAATTCGAAGAAGAGAGGCAGAAAGAGAGAGAGTGAGGGTAGAGACTTAGAAGAAGAGAGACAGAAAGAGAGAGAGTGAGGGTAGAGAATTAGAAGAAGAGAGACAGAAAGAGAGAGAGTGAGGGTAGAGAATTAGAAGAAGAGAGACAGAAAGAGAGAGAGTGAGGGTAGAGAATTAGAAGAAGAGAGACAGTAAGAGAGAGAGTGAGGGTAGAGAATTAGAAGAAGAGAGACAGAAAGAGAGTGAGGGTAGAGAATTCGAATAAGAGAGACAGAAAGAGAGAGAGTGAGGGTAGAGAATTAGAAGAAGAGAGGCAGAAAGAGAGAGAGTGAGGGTAGAGAATTTGAAGAAGAGAGGCAGAAAGAGAGAGAGTGAGGGTAGAGAATTAGAAGAAGAGAGACAGTAAGAGAGAGGGGGTACAGATGGTGCATGCTTTGCACTTTTAGGGTTTATGAGATGTGTGGATGCACTCTATGGCTGGAGGAAAGATCACAGTCTTTTTTGTGTAAAGATCTCCCCTCTCTCTGTGAAGCTGTGGTTATTCTCCTAACACTGCTGTTTTTGAGTTTTACACAAAGTGTGCTCCACTGAACCTAGCTCTGGTCCAGGTCGTTAGTGTGTGTTCCTTCCATAGTGAAGGTATGCGCACTAACCCCCTGGGCCAGAGCTACACTGAACCCTACCTCATTGTTTAATCCCCCCTTAAGCGCAAGAGTCCGACTTTGAATTTCGTTTTTGATCAATGACGCCCCTGAGCTACACCCATTGGTCCGTTGAATGTCAGAATCATTCATCTTAGCAACACACCCCATTTTGAAATGTAATTTCTATTGATCTGTTTAAAAAAACATTAAATTGTAGGATACACAAGAGGATATAGATGATATTGTTTGTCGTAACTCTGGCAATAACTGATTGGTCAGCAAATGGTCACAGACCTGGGAGAAGGATCACTTTTAAAGTGATTACAGCATGCATCTGTTTTGATTTGATTTCAATAATGACAGCGAAGACCCAACAAATCCCTCACAGCAAAGACCCAACAAATCCCTCAAAGCAAAGACCCAACGGATCTCTCTGTCACGCCCTGACTCTGGGGACTCTTATTTGTTGAGTCAGGGTGTGATTTTCTATGTTGTATTTTCTATGTTTGTGATCTAGGTTTTGTAGTTCTATGTTTGGCCGGGTGTGTTTCCCAATCAGAGGCAGCTGTCGCTCGTTGTCTCTGATTGGGGAGCATACTTAGGCAGCCTATTGGCAATTAGGTGTTGTGGGATCTTGTTCCGTGTGAGGTTTGTTGTGTGTTACCTTTGGACGTCACATTTAGTTGGTTTATTGTTTTGTCGTTGTTTATTAAGTTTAAAATAAACATGTATGCATATCACGCTGCGCCTTGGTCTGACCCGTCCTTCAACGAACGTGACAGAAGATCCCACCAAACGAGGACCAAGCAGCGTGTCCAGGAGCAGACAGCCTGGACATGGGAGGAGATCCTGGAAGGAAAGGGATCCTGGACATGGGAGGAGATTCAGGCCGGGATGGATCGCCGTCCTTAGGAGGAGACAGTGGAGGCCCGGTATAGAGAGCAGCAGCGGCAACGCAGAAGGTGCCGGCCGAGGAAGAAGCCCGAGAGACAGCTCCAATAAATTTTTTTGGGGGGGCTAAAAGGGTGGTTGGCGGAGCATAGTGTTAGAGCAGAGCCAACTCCCCGTACTCACACGAGGAGGCGTGTGACTGGGCAGGCTCCGTGTTATGCGGAGCTACGTACTGTGTCGCCAGTGTGCCGGCACAGTCCTGTACGTCCTGTGCTAGCACCACGCACGTGCTGTGCGAAGATGGGCATCCAGCCAGGACGGGGTGTGCCGGCTCAATGCTCCTGGTCTCCAGTACGCCCCCTCGGTCCCGCATATCCTGCGCCGGTTCTACGTACTGTATCGCCAGTGCGCGTGCACAGCCCTGTGCGTCCTGTGCTAATGCCTCACACATACTGTGCGGAAGTAGGCATCCAGCCAGGACGGGTTGTGCCAGCTCTCCGCTTCAGACCTCCAGTCCGCCTCCACAGTCCGGTACGGCCCGTTCCTGCTCCTCGCACCAAGCCAGTGGTGCGCGTCGCCAGCCCGGTCTGGCCTGTTCCTGCTCCTCGCACCAAACCAGTGGTGCGTGTTCCCAGCCCAGCCCGGCCCGTTCCTGCTCCTCGCACCAAGCCAGTGGTGCGCGTCGCCAGCCCGGCCCGGCCTGTTCCTGCTCCTCGCACCAAGCCAGTGGTGCGCGTCGCCAGCCCGGCCCGGCCTGTTCCTGCTCCTCGCACCAAGCCAGTGGTGCGCGTCGCCAGCCCGGCCCGGCCTGTTCCTGCTCCTCGCACCAAGCCAGTGGTGCGCGTCGCCAGCCCGGCCTGTTCCTGCTCCTCGCACCAAACCAGTGGTGCGTGTTCCCAGCCCGGCCCGGCCTGTTCCTGCTCCTCGCACCAAGCCAGTGGTGCGCGTCGCCAGCCCGGCCCGGCCTGTTCCTGCTCCTGACTTTGAGATGTACATCTATTATAGTGTCTCAGTTCTGACATCATGTCTAAAAAGCGAGGCTTGGTGCCTTGCAAGAACTACAACAAAAATAGGAAAACATTGCATCCTTTGACCTGCTGTCTGACTGATGTTTTTCGGGCTCTTCAAGATGATAATGCGGCGTCTGGATTTCACCATACCTCCATATTGCTGCTTTCACATTATCTCTATCAGTAGGCAATGCACAGTTCTGTCCTACGGCGGAGTAGCAGGGGCAGAGGGAGATTTTTCTCCTAAATCTTATTTTCTGTGCTATAAATCCCCCCTTCTCCTCCTTCCCCTCCTCTTCCTCATGGAGTGTGGAGGAACATGTGGGAGACAGCTGTGTGTGTAGACAGCTGTGTGTGGAGGAACAGGTGAGGGGGATGCTGGGAGCGTGTTGGTAACAGTGGCAGGACGAGGCCCGGTGCGGTTTAGGGATGCTGCCTGTTTACACAGCCAAGAGGCTGCAGACAGTCTGTTAGTCTGGTAGCTGAGTGGACCCAGCTGTGGGACCTACAGTATAGCTTCCTGGTGGTTGCCCAGGATTCTCCACTGCCAAAGCCAGATCACTCAGCTCACTGCCAAATGAGAGAGAGAGAGAGAGAGAGAGAGAGAGAGAGGAGAGAGAGAGAGAGAGAGAGAGAGAGAGAGGAGAGAGAGAGAGAGAGAGAGAGAGAGAGAGGAGAGAGAGAGAGGTGAAGTTCAGGGACGAAGAGAGAGGGAAGAGAGTGAAGAGGAGGAGAGAGGAACAAGCCATCAAAAGACTGAATGTATTGACCTGTTAAATCTCTTCACCCTTTGACTAGCATGTCCTTCTCTGCTAAATTTTTACATTTACATTTTAGTCATTTAGCAGACGCTCTTATCCAGAGCGACTTACAGTAGTGAGTGCATACATTTTCATATTTGTTCGTATTTTGTATTCGTATTTGTTGCTACGATAAGATAATTTACGCACTCCCCTGTTTTCATAAAACATCCGGGATATGTAAACATAGAATTTTAAATTCTTCATCTGGTTTTGTGAGAATGTTTGATTTATTTCAGACATGTTTTATGGGAGACAGAGAAGAAAGAGGAAGATATCAGCAGATCTGTACCCATCGGCGGGCTATAGTATCTATAAAGCCACACTATAAGCATATGGTGATTCCCTATCACTCCTGTGGTTTTATGATCCATCTAAGAGCCCATTAGAACACGAAATTCCTCCTCTTGAACTAAATAAAGCAGAAAACGATTACTTAACCACTGCGCTGAGTGTGCAGAAGCGTCAATGAAACATACACTATAAATATAGCCCAGTATTTATGGGGTGGAAAAATTTAACAGCAGCCTCATCTGAAAATAACTTCCTCAGTGTTTAATGGGGGAGGGTTTAATGAGATGAGGAATAGTCGTCTACTGTGAGGTGAGAAGAAGAGGTATGTCTGGTACACTGTTCATGTCATATGCATGGTCTTTAGTGTGAGGCTGTCAGGCAGAGCTAAAAAAAGGTCTGGCTTCATCCCAAATGGCACCCTATATAGTGCGCTACTTTTGACCAGAGCCTGTATGGTCATACATATTAAGTAGTTCACTATGTAGGGAATGGGGTGCCATTTGGGATCCAGCCTGTCTTCACATAGAGCTCGTTCTGAGGAAGGAATCATAGAAGGTGATTAGCACATGTGTCACAATGCTGGAATCATTGGTTCACTTCAACTCTGACCTTCTACCTGTTTCTTTCTTTATTTTTCAGATGTTTTTATTTTATTGAGATTGATTATTTATTGTCATCGATAGGACTAGATGTGGAGACGACAGCTAGGAAAGGTGGACGCAGGGATCAAACCCCAGCGTCTGGGGACATGTGTAGTGTGGAGTCAGCCGCACTACCGCTAGACTCTGGCATTACACAATGTTTACCTTTCTGACCAGTCAAAAACATTCATGGAATTCTGACCTCTGACCTCAACCAGAGCTATACGGAATCCATAGCAGCTCCCATTCTAAACACATGCCCAATTAACCAATTGAGTTGTCCTAGTTTGAATTCTTAAAATTCTTCAGTGTCGAAAAGAATCGCAAACATAAAAGATGGTGACAACGCGTCTAGACGCTAATCAGGGGGAATCACATCAGTATTCCGTTTCATTATGTTTCATGTCGGTGCCAGTGTGAGCGCTCATTAAAAGGAACTTCTAAATGCATATAGATGGCGATAAACGAGAGAGAGCAATTGGACAGACGTGGCTGGCGCACCGCTCTGTAATTAATTGTATTTTGACTACTGTCAATAGGTGAGAGGTGGTGAGAACGGTTATATTCCCATCAGGTGTAATTACAGCCATATTGGGGCTCCGTGACAGGCAGGGGAGGGGAAATTAAAGGTGTTATATTGTGAGAAAAAGATCTCCGCCGGTCTCCACAGGTATAGCCTCACAGGTGGCGCAACCTATCATTTCCATCTCAATCGTTCAATTCATTTCAGTGCCATTTTCATTTGCTACTAGCCACAGCTTTCCTTTCTCAATTGTGTGTCTCTCTAGTCTGCATCCCAAATAGCACCCTATTCACACACCTTCATATCGTCATCTCTCTGTGTCTCTGTGTTGTGCCCCTGAGCAAGGCACTTAACCCCCTACAATTGTTTCAGGGGTGCTGCACTGCGCCTGACCCATTGCTTCCAGCCCCTCGGGGTGTGTGTTGTCACAGGCGGCTGGTGGTACCTTAATTGGGGAGGACGGGCTCATTGTAATGGCTGGAACAGAATGAATGGAATGGTATCAAATACATCAAACACGCCATCTGTATTGTATGGCTGCCGTCTTGCGAGCTCCGACCTAACTTTGCTTTGCAAGACTTGTACTTGTGCGCGTGACAATAAAAACGTAAAACTTGAAACCTATTACCTAAATTGTGCACGACTTTTGACCAGACCCCTATAGAAGTGCCTTATATATGGAATAGGGTGCCATTTGAGACACAGTCGAAGTCTAATGGAATGCAAAGTCATTTATAAATATACAGTACCAGTCAAAAGTTTGGACACACCTACTCATTCCAGGGTTTTTCTTTTACTATTTTCTACATTGTGGAATAATAGTGAAGACATCAACACTATGAAATAACACATATGGAACCATGTAGTAACCAGAAAAGTGTTAAACAAATCAAAATATATTTTATATTTGAGATTCTTCAATGTAGCCACCCTTTGCCTTGATGACAGCTTAGCACACTCTTGGCATTCTCTCAACCAGCTTCATGAGGTAGTCACCTGGAATGCATTTCAATTAACAGGTGTGCCTTGTTAAAAGTTAATTTGTGGAATTTCTTTCCTTCTTAATGCGTTTGAGCCAATCAGTTGTGTTGTGACAAGGTAGGGTTGGTATACAGAAGATAGCCCTATTTGGTAAAAGACCAAGTCCATATTATGGCAAGAACAGCTCAAATAAACAAAGAGAAACGACAGTCCATCATTACTTTAAGACATGATGGTCAGTCAATGCGGAACAATTCAAGAACATTGAAAGTTTCTTCAAGTGCAGTCGCAAAAACCATCAAGCTGTCACGCCCTGACCTTAGAGATCACCTGTATTCTCTGTTTGGTTAGGTCAGGGTGTGATTTGGATAGAATCTAGTGTATTCTGTTTCTATGTTGGCCGGGTGGTGGTTCCCAATCAGAGGCAGCTGTCCATCGTTGTCTCTGATTGGGGATCATACTTAGGCAGCCATTTTGCCTACCTTTAGTTGTGGGATCTTGTTTCTGATTCTGTTTCTGTTTCGGCTTGTTGCTGTTAGCGTTTAGAACTTCACGTTCGGTTGCTTTTGTTATTTTGTCAAGTGTCTATTTAAATATTAAACATGTACGCATACCACGCTGCACCTTGGTCCGATCCTTTATACAACGAACGTGACACAAGCGCTATGATGAAACTGGCTCTCATGAGGACCGCCACAGGAAAGGAAGACCCAGAGTTACCTCTGCTGCAGAGGATGAGTTCATTAGAGTTTCCAGCCTCAGAAATCGGCAATTAACTGCACCTCAGATTGCAGCCCAAATAAATGCTTCACAGAGTTCAAGTAACAGACACATCTCAACATCAACTGTTCAGAGGAGACTGTGTGAATCAGGCCTTCATGGTCGAATTGCTGCAAAGAAACCACTACTAAAGGACACCAATAAGAAGAAGAGACTTGCTTGGGCCAAGAAACACGAGCAATGGACATTAGATCGGTGGAAATCTGTTATTTGGTCTGATGAGTCCAAATGTACTATTTTTGGTTCCAACCGCAGTGTCTTTGTGAGACACAGAGTAGGTAAACGGATGGTCTCCTTTTTTTTGGTTACTACATGATTCCATATGTGTTATTTAATAGTTTTGATGTCTTCACTAGAAAATAGTAAAAATAAAGAAAAACCCTAGAATGAGTAGGTGTGTCCAAACTTTTGACTGGTGCTGTATTTATATAAAATAAAAAAATAAACCTGAACCAGCACTTGCACTTGACAACCAACCCCTTTCTATCTCTGACTCTACTGATAGCTACGTTATTGAGGTAAAATGTACTTTCTATGCCTGTGACATGTGGTTGTCCCACCTAGCTATCTTAAGATGAATGCACTAACTGTAAGTCGCTTTGGATAAGAGAAAAAAGGTTTAAAAAAAAAAAAGAGGTAAAAATACAAAGTGAGTCTGGGTTAGGCATTAACAATTATGGCGGCGGGACAAAAAAAACAGAAGGATGGGCTGACAGTTGGAGAGGGTTGAAATATGAACACGTTCCACACGGGCATACCACTGGGTTTCTAGCACATTCTCTCCCAAGGAATTTGTCTTGTCGCTTTTGCTAAATAATAGAGGATCTACTCTGAATATAGCCCCGCAGTATTCATCTAGCTAGCGTAGCTGAGCTTGCCATAACACATAGCACTCTCTCATCGTCACTAAAACTATTTGTAGCAGTGGTAGGAGTCTGGGGACTAGTGGATCATGCAGATATCGTTTGAAACCAAGTAGTACTAGGGTGGAAAAAGATACATCTCCTTACTGGTTTAGACAGATAATCCATATGATTCTTAATGACATCATTTATAATTATAGTTTTCTGTGGTCATATTAGAGATATATGTCTTCCTTGTTGTCTGGTCTCTGGTCATTACAGCCAATGAGTGATTTTGTCAGTGTTGTGATGTTGACAGGCTGGTGTGGTCAGTTATTATTATTATTAATTGTTATTATGTTAGGTTGAAGGGTCATTTATCGTATGTAATTAGGGCCCCCCTGTAGAGAGGCTACCGAGGCCCATCTAAGGGCCCCATGGAGGGAACAGGATCGCTCATTAGACCCCACTGTACTGTGAATGGACCATGTTATTAGACAAGGAACATGTAATTGATAGGAGTGCCTGTCAGATATTCCCGTCACAATGCTTTGTGGTGAGCCAATCAGCTAGGATGTCAGAGAAGGGTATGGTGTCTGTTGACTTCTCAGACCAGTGTTATTGCAGCCAAGGTCATACCGAGGGATTTGATAAATGAAAATAAAAATGCTGATTGTCTGGATCAGTCAAAATGTCGAGCAAATTTGCTCTGGTGAGAAA